TTTTGCTGTATTTGGATCAAATAAATGAAGCCTTGGTGAGCAGAAGAAACGTCTTTTAAAACATAAAAAAATCTTACCGTTCTAATAATTTTGGCCACCACTGTATATATATATGTGTGTGTGTGTGTGTGTGTGTGTGTGTGTGTGTGTTTGTGTGTGTGTGTGTGTGTGTGTGTTGAGGGTTGCTTAATGTTTATTGCTAGACAATTAGATAATTACACAAATCAGGTTTTTAAACTGGATTTAGACATGTCCTACATTTTGGTGTAAAAGCTCATAAAAAATGAAGCTTATAATAATATAATATAATATAATATAATTCAACATGATATTTTGTTAACGTGACAGTGATAAATGATATTGCTGAATATACGCAAGATCTCTACATACCTTCAGCTTTTAGGAAACTGCTAGTAGATAATGAGACCACAATTTTGTAGTATCTTAATTCCAACACTAGATGGGAGAATTGTCTTTCTTTAGAAATCTTCTGTCAACTGAAACAAAGTCCTGTGTTGCAGTGGGTTTTATTTAAAACACCCCCACCCCCTTTGTCCGAGACCATATTTAAAAGTTGTTCTGTTCTTCTGTTGTAATTCATTCATTCATTCATTGCATTTAAGCAATCAAGGTTTGTATAACTGAATTTTAAATAAGTTTGCATAGGCCTTAGTTGCCCCCCTGGCTGAGAACCACCGCTGTAGAACGTTTGTATTGATTATAGCAGTACTAATTGAATTATTCATAAATAAAAGTTTTTTGCCTACAGATGTTATCTTAATTAGAGGCAGTTACAACATGTAGTGTCGTTTAATATGCTGTAAATATTTTCACAAATAAGACAAACATCGATAGTGTAATGTTGCTAAAGACTCAACGAACCACATTTCACCAGTATGGGGACTTTCTCAAACTGTAGCCTATGCTTTGGAAATGTTGGGGGATTGTGGATGCAGTCTGTTTTAATGCTGCGTGATTATTGTTTGCATCTAGTTTCTGGTGGAAGCCCACACATTTCCAGTGCAGTCACGCACAAACCCACTTCACATGAATGAGTACTGTGTCCTCTAACACATGAGCACTCTCAATGATGAGGGTATGTGTAATACCCCGGGAATGTGCTAAAAATATGCACGGCTTGGTGAACACACCCCCATAGTACACAGCATGTCCGACTATGACTAACAATACCCTCAACATCCCTCTGTTTTTACTTTCTCCTCCATTACAGGCAACAGCAAACTGATGAAAGATACATAGAGCTACTCATGTATTATTTGGCCTCTCTTTGTTTGCTGCTGATTGGTTTTGACATCACAATAAAGGTCTGGATGCTCTTGAACACTCTTGGATGCTCTACAGTTATTTAGGTTAATTATCTAATAATTCATTCTATGAAGGGTTGTGCAATTCTTATTGATGACGTACTATTATAGTGACAACCTGTACATAATGTATGTGCCTGAGTGGATGTTGCTATAACAAAAAGGATATGGCATGTATTCTTAATGACCTTAAAACATTACGGAAACATCATAAATCAATATACTGTAGCATCATATATTTTATGTCTTTATGACTGGGTAAGAGCAGTGATTCCCAACGTTTTGTGTCAGGTGCCTCCACGACTGAATAGTCCATTTACCCAAACCATTAGCACTTTCATGAAAATTATCACAATGATTCACTTTTTGGGATCTTATAGGTTTAGTTTTAATAATTTAGTTTTAATATATTTTTATTCTATTTTTATTCAATTTATATGAGGTGTGTTTAACTACTGTACATAGGCCTACATAAAAATATTTGTTAGGTACAATGAACACTTGCTATTGCTATTGAAGTGGGATACGGGTGAGGTTAGGGACAGGTTTTATGGTCTGGTTAGGTTTAAGGTTGGGTTAAGGGGTAAGGGAAGGGTCAAAAGTGTAATTAAAGATGTAATTACAGAAATTAATAACAGATTTTTAATTACATGCAGGTGTACCATGTAAAAACATGTGGTTACACTTTATTTTAAGGTGTCTTTGTTACACTGTTTTTATACATTTAAGTACTGAGTAATAATAATTAACCACTTGTACTTGCAATTGGGTTAGGATTAGGGTTTGGTTTAGGGTAAGTTGCATGTAATTATGTGTAATTTATTGTTAATACTAACTGCATGTAACGTGTAACAACGACACTGTAAAACAAAGTGTTACCAAAAATGTATGTACACATTAAGTGCATTGTATCAAATTATTAATTTAAATGTTAGTAAACACTTAATTTAAAGTGGGTCCCCCCCAAAAAAAGTTAAATGTGAAAGTATCGTTCAATTATTTAAAGGGATATTTCACCCGCCAAAACTGAAAATTCTGTAATTTACTCATTCTCATGTTGTTCCAAACAACTTGTAATCAAACAGTAGGCCTACACTGTATAAAAAAAAGAAGAAGAAGAAAGAAAAAAAAAGAAGAAGTTGCTGGCTTAAAGGGGTGGTTCAGAATTTTGGACATCGGGCCTCATTTCCAAGTTAGCCTTAGTGTTATTTATCAGTGGAGACAGTTTTCAAAAAATTTCATCGAGTCGTTCCAGTTGCATACCGGTAGTTCGCCGGTACTAGGCGCGAGTCAACGGTAACTGCTAGCCTGCCATTACAGTTTTACCCACTCTCACAGTACACCAAAAGCAAATAAAGCTAATTATAACGCCAGACTATCGATGTAAATGTCTGTTGAGAGAAAAATGTTAGAAATCAAACTACCCTTTCATCGCATTGCACTAGTTATACTTTGTTCCCTGTATTTAATAGCGCAGTCTACAGCAGCGGCGGAGTGATATTAAGTTACCTAGGCAACCGAGAGAGGTAGTGAGAGAGAGCGGTAGAGAGAGGTAGGACAGGTAGTCCCGACTGTAGTGGGCTTTTGTTCTGTTCAGAGCCATATATGGCTCTGGTTCACTGATCTATATAGAATGACATGTCATTATATAGATCAGTGCTCTGGTTCTGTTTACTTTTCGGCGCAGTACTACTAACCGGAGCAAAGTAAAATTCCGCCGCTGCTGAGAAACTAGTTCTTGTAAATGTTTAGCGATCATTATTTGAGATGCAAGAGTAGTTTGATTTTTAACATTATTTTCTTAACAGACATTTACGATAGTCTGCCTTTATAATTTATTTGCTTTTGGTGTACTGTGGAGTGGGTAAAACTGTTTTTAATAGCAGGCTAGCAGTTACCGTTGACTCGCGCTAGCATAGCACCGGCGAACTATGCAACTGGAACGACTTGATGACATTTTTTGAAAACTGTCTCCACTGATCAATAACACTAAGGCTAACTTGGAAATGAGGCCCGATGTCCAAAATTCTGAACCACCCCTTTAAATTACATTGACTTAATAACTTGTTTAAAAGAGTTGATCATGATATTTTTTACAGTGTTGATGGACACCATTGACTTCCATAGTATTTTTTCTCCCCATACTATGGAAGTCAATGGTACCCCAAAACTGTTTGGGTAGCCATGTTCTTCAAAATATCTTCTTTTGTGTTCAGCAGAATAAGAACTTTGTGTTTGGAACAACTTGAGGGTGAGTAAATGATGACAGAATTATAATTTTTTTTGGGTGAGCTATTCCGAACCTTTTTGTCATAAAGTATTCTTAAAAATTTAATAAAGAACCCTAGGGTTCTATATAGAACCCCATTTTTTTCTTAGAGTAAAGCTGAGGGAAGTAGGCTACTATAACATACTGAAGGTGCAAACAGTGTCATACACAAATACAAAACATTGTAACATGAGACAGTAAAATAATGCAATAAACATTCATTTTTAACAACATAAAATGTAACATGAAACCCTAATGTGCACAAAAAAAACTAAGAAGAAACAGGCTAAAAATGAAAAATCATAATGTTTCAGACAGGGAATTCTGGAATTCTTCAGTTTATGGCTTTTTACTGTAAAAAGTACGATTATTTGTTTATTTTTACCTCCAAAAATGGTACATTTATTTACCGTAAAATTACATGAAATGTAAAGTTTTACATAGATCTATTAGCCTACTGTTAACCAATTAACAGTTTTTTACAGTCTTTTACAGTTAAAATTACAATACATTTTTTTACAATGAAAAACAGACTCATCCAACTTTGTCTCACCTTTTCATTTAATGGGACACCTGAGCTTGTTTGTCGTTCACAAGTTTTGACCTTTCTGAAGTTTCTGAAATCTGGCTTGTGAATGTTCGTTTTCAGCTATGACTGTCATTCATACAAATGACCTAACCAAAAAGAACACGTGCTTTAGGCTATATTCTTTCCTCAAAATTAATATGTTCATCATTTGACTAATATTATTATAGGTTTATTATATAAACAAAAATAAATACATTTTCAATGATTGTAATATTTAATTGTAATATTAATATAGATTCATATTTAATCTAATATTTCACTTTCGATTATAGGTTATACTTCATTAGATTATAGCTTCAACAACATTGAAATCTTTCCAAGTACCCAAGCATCCAACTGGGTAGGGGAGTCACTGTGTTTTTGTCTTTCTGGTCCATCTGGAAATGTGTCAAAAGTCAAGGAAAGTCTAAGAATATAAAAATACCCAGAATAATGCCAAACATTATAAAAGTTGTATACAACGTGACTTTTGGAGTGACCTTCGCAGTTCGCAAGGACCAACATCCATCACCAAATATATTTTAAATGTCAATGCTGACCAGCCAGGCCAGGGGAAGCAGTTAAGCAAAGATGTATTTAATACATTAGGGAATGTAGGTACTGTGTTAAAAAGAACCATTTATATTCATCAAAGTATCCAAAGAGCAACAAAATTGGGTGCATTTAGAGGCTTAGAACTAGTGAGCTCTGAGAATGCGGCGACGTCACGGAAAAGGTGCTGTCAACCCGGTGTAGCCCCGCCTCTTCAAGTGACGTACGTGGTAATTCCCCCGCTGATTGGTTAAGGTCACTTTCAGTTGCGTCTGTGAACCGCTCGCAGAGCCCACATGCACAACAGTTGCAGCGCCCTTTATTTGCACAGTGAGCGCGAGGACAGCGCATCTTCAGACTCGTTTTACTTCATTTAATCGTTTTATTTCTACATGTCGAATAATAGCGGTTTGTTTCAATATTTAAATGTATCCAGTTTTATTGTTTGGAGGTCTGTTGCGTTAATACCCAACGTAAACTTCAAAAGAGGCGACAGTCAGCCAACTGACAAATCTGTTTTGTTTGTTATTATTTTTGGCTTGATAGGCTGTGTGTTCGACAAGATGCCGCGCGGATACATTTCGTAGTTCCATCCGCAGTTTTCTTATCCTCCGGAAGTGGCGGTCACTTTAACACTAGTTACTTCAATTTAAAAGGTAAGTTAAAAACTTCTTCAATTTTTCGTAACTACTGTAATTGACTATGTCAGTCCTTATTCTTTTCACTATGTCATGTGTTCTGCGTGGCATGCAGTCTGGAAACATGTCCATGCATGATTGCAAGCAATGTCTTCCAAGTCAAGACATTGTAAAAACGCTTTAATAACTGATGCCTCTTGGAAACTATTTTAGTTGGGGCGTGGACGACAGGAATTCATGCACAGCTATAACTACAATTCTCTTATGAGGAGAAAAGTCTTCTGTTAGTGTTTTTAGTGTGAGAGTTGCTTAAGGGCTGCATGCATTGTTATCTTAATTGTGAGTGTTGGTTGTCATTATAAACAATACAATTCATGGCATTATATTAAGGTAGGCTATTTTCTTAAATCCACAAGGCATCACACGTGATCTTTATTTTGTTGGCCTGTCAAAGTGACTCTTTCATATTTCTTCATTTAAGAAGGTATTAAGATCTTAGTACGCATGTGTCAGTATTAGAGTCTTTCTCTATTGATGACTTAATCTCTTTAGATGCAAATAGGTTCATTAAAGTTGCAGTAGGAAATTTGGTGCTTGCACTTCAACATGTATTAAATAACAAGCACTCTAAAGTACAACTTACAAGCTTATCTAATTGCCTCAGTAAAAGGCATACTTGGAAGTGTAGATGATGAAGGTGATGATGATGGTTTGGTTTGAACAGTTAATGTCAAAGCATGTATTTGAGAGGTCTGGGTTTGACTGGGTGTCTGACTTTGACCACTATCTGAATGTGACAAGAGCACTGTATCCATTAGAAATACACTCTTTTGTCATTTCCCCGTCACCATGGTAACAGATTGTGAAATCTGTTTTTCTATGTATGTAACGTTACTAGTCCTAACCAGAACTGTGTGCCAGTGAAGTACATTTTGTTTTTTAAATATTTGCTAGTGCTACCACATTATTTAAAGGGACAATGAGCTGCCTCAGTGGCCAATTTGTGAATATTTTCACAGCAAGATAATATCTGTATTATTGTGGGTGGACTCTTTTATCTTCCTTCACAGCCGTTGAGAGTAGAAGCTATGATGTGGATGCTCTCTCTCTCTCTCTCTCTCTCTCTCTCTCTCTCTCTCTCTCTCTCTCTCTCTCTCTCTCTCTCTCTCTCTCTCTCTCTCTCTCTCTCTCTCCCCCCCCCTATCTCTTTATTTGTCACTTTCTATAAACAATACTCCAAGAAACAAAGACTTCGATGCATTACAATTTTGGAAACTGAACACAGCAGTTGAACAGGACAGAGGATTTCTGCAAAGATTCCTATAATGATTATTTTACACAGTATCCCACATTGAAATTCAATGCGTAATGAAAGCCCAATATTTTATTGATGTACAAGACACATTTACGCTGAGTCAGAGTGATTGTGTTTGTAAATTTCTTCAGCCTGTGTCAGTGTTTCGTAACATGATTGGATGGAACAGGGTGTCAAATTGTCCTCTGCGTAGCTTAAACACCAGTAGATTTTTGAAGTGATGTGTGAAAGGGCTTGTTTCTAACAGACTGGACTGAAAATGAATCTGATAGGCCGCAGATATCTTTAATAACATCTAAAATTATGAATGACTGCAGTTATCCTGCCTCATGTTCAGTGCCACTATGTCATGAGACATTCATTTTAAACTAGTCCGCAACCTAATGGGTTAAATAATTAGTACAATAAATTATTTGTATTAACTAAAAATGTTACAAATTGAAAATATTAAAAAAGTTTCATATATAGTATGTCGACTGACAAACAGAACAGACGTAATCCAAGAATGCAAATGTAAGAGTCAACTTCAGACATATTGACAAACTCAGAATAATTTCAGAGATTAAGTTCAATGATTTTGGGGGAAAAAAACTAAACCATATTTTCCCACTTTTTGTAATATCTGTTTATTCATTTGCCTAAGTAAAGTAGTTTTAAAATGTTTTCATTAAAGGACGTTTATCTAATAATGAATTTATGCACTTAATTGTGATTTATTTTATTAATTAATTAGCATCTCATGTTAATTAAATAATGGTTCAATGAAGTGTTTATAACATTGTTATAATGTAAATATGGCTCACACTTTTTGTCGTCAAGTTATCTCTATTTATATAGCGCTTTATACAATGCAGATTATTTCAAAGCAGCTTTACAGTGATAACAGAAAAATGATGCATTTTGGCTGTTGTTCAGCTGAAGTCAGTTCACTGTTGATTCAGATCAGTTGTAAAAATAGGCCTAATCAATTATTAAATTAGTTAATTTCATCTGTAAACAGATTAAAGCTCTACTACTTAGTTATATGTATTTACAGATTTATTTTAAAATATAAATACAATGTACAAAACATGTACGTACAGAATAAGTTCATCAAATGATTAATTTAAATGTTAGTAAATAGTAGTTGCAAGGGGATGTGATAGTCCTCTATATGCCCTTTCTCATAAAAATAAACTAAAAGAATGTTCCATATCATCCATTCTGGCTTCTATTTCTGTGCGTGGTGTGGCCCAGACTGGACAAACCTAAAGGATGCATTAGAGGCTGTAATTTCCTTTTCCATCAATATTGGATTATGGTGCCATTATGGGGCACTTTCCATTTCTTCAACTCTTTGTGTACGTCCTACAGCTTCTCCAATTCCCAGCCCAGCTCTCAGATTAGTGGTTGTGAGTGTGAAAAACACTCCTAGGTACATAGATGAGTATTCAGACTAACTGTGGGCAAATGATTGGATTGGACCAGAGCGTTTGGGAAGAAGTTTAAGTTTTAACTGGACATCTACCATAGATGTTTATCTTTTTGGTTTCTTTTGCGACTGCAGCTATGCAGGTAATCCTCCTCAGTATGGGGCTGCACATAGTAGCCGTGTCCTTTAACTAGAAAATACACCTTTATTTTCACACCAGGACAGCAGCCTGAGCTCAGGACCGTTTTACAAAACCACACACGCTGTTGCCATAGTCACAGTGTGAGGTGAAATAAGTTGAGTTTGATAAGAGACCTCAGGTGGGTGAAAGTGGTTTGATTCTGTGGTTCTTTGATATGTTTCTTATGGGAAGCTCTCTATGATCTCAACTGTGTGTGTATTAAATGTGTTGTGGATCTGGAGTGATGTACAGGGGCTTTGAGAGCAGATGTTGTCGTTGCTCAAGCGCAGTGGCAGGTGTTGCCGCTGTCTGCCTTCCTCATCCATAAAAGATGTGATTTCTATACCTAAACAGGTAGGTAAGGTTACAGCTAGATGGAAAGATATTCTGTCTCAGACTTGTCTGGTTTTCACTGTATTTAATATGTTGTCTATTTAAAGCAATTTGTTTTTACATGCTGCATTCACCTGCATTCACAAAATCTGATATCTTTAACATTGTGTTTAAGCGACATATTATCTCATTATGTCTGTTCAGACGGTCTGTGCTGTAGACAGCTGATATCAATCGCTCGGTTCAACTTCCTTTTGGTGTCATTTATATTAATTGCTGTCTTTGTGTTGTAGAAAGAGGGCAATTCCCACAGTGAAATCTTCTTCGCTTACAGAAAACAGAAAAAAATGACAAAATTAGCATTACATTTATTTAATTTATTATATTTATGCTAACAGTAATTAAAAAGTCTATTATTTAAACACACTACTTGCAGAATTTCATCTTTTAGCAATGGGATTGTGTTTCCTTTTTTCCAAACAATTCGTCGTTAAATAATTGGGGCATTTGGCGGTAACCCATTAGGTTTCTTCTTACATATCATGCTAACACATGCTTCCTCAAGAATCAATAAAGTTTGTTCATGTGCGTCAAACAAGTGTGCTTGAGCTTCCGTTGAACATATTTGATGTGCTCGTGTGTTGTTCAAGGTGTGAATAAATGCCTAAATTAAATCTGTTCATCTGATAAAGTGATCGTGTCTCTTCAGAATTGTGCTACTCATATGGAATACTATTACTTGAAGTTTTCATAATTGTTTTGGTGGAATGGCCTTTAAGTGGAGGGACAGAAATCTCTCAGGTTTCATTAAAATATGTTAATTTGTGTTTTGAAGATGGAAGAAAGTCTTGTGGTATTTAAAATGACGCGAGGGTGAGTAATTTATGACATAATTTTCATTTGTGAGTGAACTATCCCTTTAAATGTACTAAATCAACTGTTAAGGAACTGGAATCATTAAAATCCCAATGATTAGTTATGTAGTAACCAACCAATCACATTAGTAATTTCATCCCGATCTCGCCTTTACTATTCCAAACTGTCTACTAACAGGCTGTGGGCAGGACTACCGGTATGTGACTTAAAGTTGACATTACCTCACCCACAAAAGTGTCATAAAGTGAGTTCATCTCATCTGAATAATGCTTTCTCCAATGTCTTTTCAGTTCAAAACATTTAAAATAATGTACACGTGATTGATGTCTGAGTCAAGGCAACCCATTACTACTATTTTTAACATATTTTTGAATTCTGTAAGAAGCAATTCATTCATGCTGTGCCTGTGTACCATCATTTTCTTGTCACAAAATCATTCATTCTCTTGTGAAAGTTAAAGTAAAGAATTGTATAGTACTTGTCTTGAGGATATGACCCGCATATCAGTATCCTAATAAAAGCTGTTTAAAAAAAAGCTTGCCTTATTGAAACACGGTGGCCCCATGTTGAGATCACATGACCTGCTGAATATTCGCTTTATCTCAGTACATCTTTGAACAGAAAAAATTAATCATGACTGAAAATTCAGAAAAAATGTATAATGACTGCAAATGCATTTCTACAAAGTGAAAATTGTAGCTTTTGCATGATGCTGCATATCCAGTCCACCTAAGGGATAACGTGTTTTTTTTTTCCAACCCAAGCTCATTCGAAACTATTAAAAATCCTGGCAGTCATAGAGAGTGCAAGTGTTTCTTCCTGGACAGGTTTTCTGGTCTAATAAGTCTTGCGAATAGAATGCAGAAAAGGTCAGAATATCAAAAGACCTGAGCTAGTTTGCA